CTATGTAATATATGTACATATGTACATATAGATATTTGCTTATACCTATGTATGTATGTATACATGGAAGTATAGAAACAGTGGGTGGAGGTGCGGATTAAACGTGCTTATATTTTTGCGATTCCTCTATAGATATGAATTATTATTATTATTTTGATTATACTTATTTCAATGTTTTGCTTATCTATCTACTTCAGCGTATTAATTTTGTTTCCTGCTTTGCCGATTCGTAGAAATCAAATATATATTGCAAACATTTCTTTATATAGATTTTGTTCAATTAATATTTTGATCTTTAAAGTATTGTAGTGCAGTTAGCTCCAGAAATATTTAATTTTAATTTTTCGCCGTATGCAGCTGAAGGTTACATTTCTAAAAATTCATGTGGCATGTATGTTTGTAGCTATAGATATATATGTATATATGTACATATATCACAAATGATGCAAAACAAAATCAAAAACTGCTAAAAATTGCTTTAATATGTAGTGATTATGTTTGTAGGTACCTGGTAAATTCAATGCATCCAAATTTTGGCATTCAAAATTATCTCTTTATTCTTTAAAGATCAAAAACATTGAAATATAATCCGCCATTTAATTAAAATAAAACGTCTGTCTAAGTGAGTGAGTGCTATTGGAGATAAGCGGAACAATGGGATATTCATTCATTTCAGCTTCCCCTTGTTTAGGTTTTTCAATTGATTTTTGGTTTAGAATATAAAAAAAAACGTAGTTATGTGCATATGTATGTACTTTTATCACTTCCTGAATGTGCTAAACAAATAATCATCAAAAACAAAGTATCCGCCAAAGAAGTATTGCTTAGTGATAGCCAGCGTTTTCCCTCTTATCGCAATCCCACCTGCGAGGTAATGTTTATTTATTTCATTGGGTATCATTCATACACATACATATACATGGGTATGTATAATTGAAAAGCTTATCACCTCATCCATTTATAATTTCAACAAACCTTTCTGGTATTTCATAATCGAATGATTGGTTGAAGTGCATACCCAGAAATCAATTAGCGTAGTTGGTAAGTTTATAATTGTTTTGGCAGCGGGTTTGTTAAGCTTTTTTAGTTCAATAAATAGTATACGTACATAAATTATATACTATGTTTTTATACTATTATTCTTTTATAATACACAAAAAAGTCTTATTCTCTGGGAAACGGTTCAAATCGGTGATGGGAAGCGCTTTGCTCTCATGGCTTTACATCAGCGATGGGCAGTGAGAGCTTTTACTCTGCACGCGCCTATACAAAATGTATAGAGAGCTTAAAAGAGCTTTGCCCGCGGGCAAGGCGGTGTCCATCACTGCTTTACATACATAAATGTGAACATTTTAAATGGAATATTCACCTGTTAGAAGCTCTTTACATATGCCCATGACTGGATAAAATCAGTCATGTTAAAAACGCTCGCCATTTTAAGAAAGCTCTCCATGGGCGCTACCCTCATATTAAGCTTAAAAAAGCTTTTATAAATATTCTCCCGCGGAATACGATTCAGTCGTAACTAAAAGCTCACCTTATTATAATACACAACTTATAAATTCGCGCACTGGGTAAAAGCTCCCTCTATTCATCAAAGTTTAGAGCCTCCTTCTACCAGATCAGAGTTGGGCGCTTCATAGCCATGCATGCGAAAGCTTTTAAAAGCGCCCTATAAAATTTTTTTTATGGTTGGTACAAAATTAAAGCTTTCCCTTGGGAGCCAATTTTGGGAGCGCAAAATTCTGGGATGGCCTTTAATTTTTAAATTGCATAACTTTTTCAAATGTGAAAATCGAAAATGAGCAATTTATTCTGCTAAGACTTGCTTCGTAAACTAAATTCAGAAAACTGCAGCTCGCCGCAAGGCCATTATATTGTCAAAAATGAACCTGAAGAAGCACCACAAAGATGTGAATATAAAGTTTATTAGTGTAAATTCTTACTTTCCTCATTACCACTTTGAACCTTTGCCGCTATTTTAACAAAGTAGAAATAGGTAAGTCTTCTGACTAATAGATTATTTTTTAACGTCTCAAATTTCTTGGTACGAAAATTATTTTAGGCCAGCAATATTAATTGCAGATTAAGACATTATTTGTATGACAGGTACCATAAATAAGGAAGACTCGAAAAGACTATTTGGTTGGGACGGTGGGAAAAAAGGCTGACAAAGAGTCTAAACTGAAAAACCAGGCGCACAGCCTTGACAAGTTCTATATTTTGGATAAAAAGTTAAAACCCTCAAATCTTAGAGATAATCAATGGTCATCTTCATTTTTAATCGATCAATTTTTTCATACTGATACTGATGAAATTGATTCTGTTTCGGTATCTGAAAATCAAAGCGTCCGAAAAACTGTCTAAGGCTTAGAAAAAGCCCATACTTATTTGATCAGAAGTTGCTTGGAAGCTATAAATAGATAGATTGATATATAATATAAACGAAGCACTGCGACCAGTAGGTCTATTGTGCCCTGCATATGTACATTAGGGTTGTCCAAAATTGCATGTGAAAAAGTAAAGTCGGAAATTTAATGCCGGGGGTGGCGGATTGTAGGTAGGATTGTTCTATACCGAAAAAATATACCCCTATTTTTTATTTTGGAATAAAAAAAATTTGTAAGTGCTCAAAGCGCTCAAAGCTTTTCAGGTATTTGATATGGGGGAAAAACAACTTTTCGTAGAAATATGTAGTGTGAAATTCTTGTAAATCAATATTTTTAGATCGGAAAACTCGGTTCCTATTCAGGAGATCCCCAATAGCCAATTGTTCCTTTAACCATTTTTTCATGTTAACTATATTTTATAGGTCGGCCAACCGCCCCGGAAAATGCAATGGGGAGACCAATAAAAAATATTTAATACATATTAAAAAATAGTTAAATAAACAATTGGGTATTAATACTGGAAGTCTTCTGGGGAGAACTACAGTTTTGCGATCGAAAAATATCGATTTTCAAGAATTTTTTACCATTTCTACGAAAATTTGTTTTTCCCCATATAAAATACATGAAAAGCTTTGGGTGCTTTGAGCACTCCCTAAATATTTACTTATTTCAAAATAAAAAGTAGGGATACATTTTTTCGGTATAGAACAATCCTAGGGTTTGGCGGAATTAAAATTCCGAATTTATTTTTTTTCGACCACTCTAATGTACATACATACATATGCTGCGTTCGCTCGATCTTGGCGGTTGCAATAAATTGTTAAAATATTTTAAGAAAATACGCCTAAGTAGATAACCAATGTCAGTCGGATTTCTCTAAAATTGAGGCAAACATACGAAAAGACAGGCAGACGGACTTTAGCTATGTAAATTTGTGGGTCTATGCTGTCCTCCTCTTATAACTACAAATACTTACAAAAACCGACAAAATTTCGTAAAAATGCCTTAACTCAGTTTCGATTACGTCGGTTTATAACCGCGTAAAACTTGTGCGGGTGCCGGACGATATCGATATCGCTTGAAACTGTGCGACTTATGAGCTGGCCAGGGGCGGCATCATCGAGGTGTTATCGCCAAGAGAAGAGACAGTGGGAGCTCCCTTGACTACTTGTGGACTTCGATTGGATTGAGGGGCCTGGGGTCAGCGCAGCCAACGGTGGAGGAAAACCAAGGCTTACGCTACTGCGAGTTCATTCTGGCCGGGGTTGGACTGGAGACGGAGAATCTCGTAAGGGTACGGAGCCGGATCTCTCGATTCTGGTAGGTCTTCTGACTGGCCACTCCCATTTCGGGAGATTAAATACCTTTTCGGATTCCTTTTGTCGCAGCTAATGGAGGACGACGACGTGGAATCGGAGTCCGGAGGAGCTCTCCGGGATCAGTGTCTGCCGGCTGCGAAACTTCGTTCTCGGCACGCTACGTTTCGTGCTATAACTTAGTCGCAATGGTATAACAACCAGTTATGCCACTCCAGAATATTTTTAGGCCGAATACAACCGACACCGAATAAAATTTATAATACCGCTTCATCGTCATAAAATCACATACAAAACTACCTCACTAAGATGTAAAACAAAAAACAAAAACATTCTAACTACGTCATCTGCTGGATATAGCGAAGTTTTGTTTTGGACGATGTTATCCAAATATTTTTAGTTTTTCCCAAGACTTGCACGTAATGGGTATAAAAAGACCCAGTTGAAGCTCGAAAATACCTGTTTCACCGATGTATAGATATGTACATATATACATACATACATACATTCGTATAACTGTGGGTACTTAATAAACGTAGTCAAATATGCTTACCTGTTCAAATACACATACATACATATGTTCCCCGCAAATTCACGTGTTACAATGCCCCCTTGTTACGCAGCAAGAACAATACAGAACTCTGCCAACAATCAGTAGGCATACATTACCCTCGCCCATTATCGCCAGCGTCGCAGCAAACTATCTATTGTTATATTACGCTTTTTATTATTTATTCATATATACATACATATTGCTTTTATACGATATATATGTGCATTAGGGTGGTTAAAAAAAAAATAAAATTTAAATGTTAAGCTCTCACCCCTAGAATTTTTCCAAATGGAATAGAAAAATACCCGTAATTTTTTGTTAAAAAAAAAGATATTTAGAGCTACCTTAAAGCTCATGAAAACTTCATGCACTTTAAATGTAAAAAAAAAAACACTTCTTAAAAATGGTATATAATTCTTGAAAATCAATATTTTTCGATCGAAAAACTGTATCTCTTCAAAAGAATTCCAGTAATAGTGCCTAGCTGTTTATTTATTTCCACAAAAAACCCCAAAAATTTCAGTAAAAAACTTCATCTGCTTTGAAGTAGTTTTATATATATTTTTTTAACAAAAAAATACGGGTATTCTTGTTTTTCATTTAGTAAAATCCTACGGGGTGAGAGATAAGCATTTTAATTTAGTTTTTTTTCTTACCACCCTAATGTACATATGCACTTACGAACATAGTTATGGTTGTATGCTTATAACCATTATTGTTGTTCTTGTTTTATATCTACAGGTAACCCAGCCAACAAACAATACACTCTGCTACATATAGCTGGCCTCTGCCTTTACATTGTGGTTCATTGTTTCGGCGCTGCTGCTGCTCAACCGAATTTACTCCTCGCTAGCGCTCACCAATCAAGCAACAATCAAACAACTAAAACCATACGACTGTCTGTCTCAGCGATTGTTTGACTGACTAACTGACTGGCTGACTGGCCGGTGAGCCGGTTGTGTTGGTGGTTTTATAGAATAGTACAATGTGTCGATGATGACGATGACGAGCAGCAAGCGTGCTTGGATTGACTGAGTCACTGTGGCCACGGCGGTGGGCAGGCAGGCAGGTATTGGTTGGTTCATTTCATTGTGGTGCTCAGCTGACGCAGTCATTCGACGACGACGTGGAGCTGTGTGGTTGTTGGTGTTTTTGGAGCACGAACACAGCACAGAGTGGAGCTTCGTACGTCGCTGGCGTTGACGTTGGCCGGCAGTTGCATTCGACGCGCCATTCGGAACGGGTTGTTAGACGGGCGGTAGTACCTACATAAGCACCTAAATAAGTACACCGTACGACGAGTGGATATGTACGTGATTGGTGCGACGTAGAGAGTTGGGTTGCGCGCGTCGTTAAGGTCGTCATCGAATTGTAGTGCTTCTGGGCTGTATAGATCATGCCAAATACGGGCCGGCAGTTGACAGGCTAGCACAGTGCGCGAATTAGAATAGAACTGAGCGAGAACGTGTTGGCAAGTGTAATGAAGCTGTAAAAATTGAGTGCCAGCAAAAGAGTGAATAAAAATTTATATAAAATAATTCTGTAAAAAAAATGTGATTTTCAAGCAGCAATTAAAATAATAAGAGTTTAATAATTTTTGCGATTCTAACAAAAAATCTCCAAGTGCGGACAGTATACGAACTACATACATACATATAACAACCGTCAAAAAGTCTCGTGCGTGTACAACATTCCGGTAGCAGCTCTGCACCAAACAAAAAAAAAAAAACAAAACAAAAAAAAAACAAGCAAAAAAAAGTGTGTCAGTGAGTGTACCCGTGTATTTTGCGATTTTCGCTCATTTTGTGTAGCGCAGGCGTGCGCGCCCTTCCCCTTCGACGGCAGCTGTTTAAACAAAAAAGAACAAAAAAAACCCCTTTGTGTCTGTTTTTCGCATTGTATCGCTTTAATTGTTGCCTAGCGAAATGACTGATTCCATAAAATTATCCGAAATGCAACGCAGTAGTATCGAATTCGAACGTCAACGACATTTGGCCAACTGGTTTATCAAGAGTAGCCCGCACATGGCAACACCGCAAACAGCGTCCGCGACGACGACAACAACGACGGCAACGGCGACGGGCGCCAGCGTTGCACTAACAACAAGAACAACAACAACAGCAACAACAGCTGCAGCTATTGGTGCAACAACAGATAACACAACAGCTAGTAATGCAACAAAAAATACAACAACATCGACAACAAATCTTGGAGGTGAGTACCTAGCAGATATCGGTGCAAATATTTGTTGACAAAGAATGAAAAAAATTGAAAAAAAAAATAAAATTAATTGAAATGGTGAAAGAGAATAAGAGGCATTTGGTTGCAAACATGTGCCTGTTACTAGGTAGCACCTTATGTCCATGTGTATGTATGTATGCACAGTGACTCAAACAAATGACCATGTGTTGATTTTTCTTAAATATCCTAATGTTTTTGGAGCTAATGTTTATTTTTGTTATTTTTCTATAAAGTACCGTTCAAGCTTTAACCATATAACATATAAATCACAGTTTCAAGCTTTACACAAAATTTAGGAAAATTCAACAATCTTTTTAATCTGAATCATATTTGGCTACGCCGTTTTATAGCCCATACAATTTTAGTCTAATGACGTGCAAATTTCAACCAGCTAAAAAATTCCGTAGACTTTTGAATTTTTATTTTTTTTTATATAAGAAGTGCAATTTACGAAAATTGGCGTTGATTTTTTGAAATTTTGTTGTTAACGGTCTCGCGCATTTTATTTCACAAGAAATTCATGATTATATGGAAAAAAGTGCAAAAATCCATCACAAAATAAAACATTCTCAAAAAGCCGTTTGATGAAAATTTGTTGAATTTTCCTAAATTTTGCATAAACCTTTAAACTGTGACTTATATGGTTTTGGTTAAAGCTTTCGAATATAAAAAAAAAAAATTAACGCTTGGTCATTTGTTTGAGTCACTGTATGTATCTACTAGCGAGGGACAACCACTTTCAGAATTTAGAAAATATTTCCACTGATGATGAAATGCTCATTGCAATCAATTAATCATTTTAATCGTTCTGGCAATGAAATTGTTGAACTTTTTGCATGACACGCGCTCATTGACAATAAAGCGAGAATGTTTCTAAGTGGATAATGTGATGCATAAACGTGTTTAAATTATTTTGAGAAAATAGCATTTTTTTGTAGTGAACAAATGTGTCCCACGCTCTATACAAAAAAAAAAAAATGTGAATTGTTTATTTAACCTTCAATCCGATCACTAACTTAGTCACCTTAACAAAAAACTTTAGACCTTATTGAAAATATATCAAAAAAAAAATTAAAATCCGACTTCAAATTTATGTCCATTTTTCGATTCTATCGAAATGTTCTAACTATGTAAATTAATTTATTGATGCAAATTATAGAAATTTCAAGAAGTAGTTTGGGAGATGTATATATGTACACTAGGGTGGTCCGAAACGTATGTGAAAAAAGTAAAGCCCCTATGATTATATCGAGAAATATATACCTCTCTTTTTTCATTTCGAAATTTATAGAATTCTTGAAACAGTATAGTTTATAGAACAGTTAAATAAACAATTGGGTATTATTATTGGAAGTCTCTTGAAGATAAACAGATTTTCCCCATTGGAAAATATTGCTTTTCGAGAATTCTATACCATTTCTACGAAAAATTGTTTTTTTTTCCACATACATAAATACATGGAAAATTTGGAGCGCTTTGAGTAACCTCTAAATATTCTTTGATCTCAAAATATGGAGCAGGGTTTGGAACAGACCTAGCGGGTGAGAGCCTTCTTGTTTCTTCAACGGTGTGGTGTTCTCTGCTAAAAAAACTGTAGATGACGTAACCCGACTTTACATTTTCTGTGTCAAAATGCGTATTTTACCCCATTTTCAAATGGGTACCCAAGGGTCTGTAGAGGACTCAGAGAAATGAAGTGCAACTTTTCTTAAAGTTTGGACGTTGCTCTTTCTATTGGATACCACACCCCCTCCATTCTGCCCCCACCATAAAACTACTATAAAAATAACCGAACATTTCCCAATTAATTTTTTGATTGCGATTTAATTTCACTTTTCAAAACGAATCAAAACCGCGCAGGCTAGTTTCATTTTTGGATCGCGGCCTAATTTCGCTTGTCAATATGAATTATGCCTACGCAGTCTAATTTGATTTTTCGATTGCGGTCTAAATACACGCGGCCAGAATTCATGGAGCTCGTCAAGTTAAGGGCGGAAGGGAAATAAGAATCAAAAATTGTGTACGCCAAAATTTGATAGACATTTTATTTTATTATAAAGCTGGCCATTTCTAATAAATTTTGTCGACGAACTCATCACTAAAAAATATGCACAGCCGTACAGTGCGCTTTGTGAACCCTCCATGCGACTTAATCGAAGCGCTTTCGACAGAAGCAGCATTTTTATATGAAACAGAATGAGTTTGAAAGCTAATGTTATTCCCTTTCATGGAAAAATATTGCCATTGAGCCACAATTACGCCTTGACCGTAAAAAAATTTGTCGAAAATAGTGTTCTTCGAAAAAAACATGCATAATCCACCGGATTTATAAAAAAAAGATACAAATTTTTATCTTTTATTAAAATAATATTATAGAATTTGAGACGAGAAGCACGATTCCACTGTTTAAAATTCCAAAAAAAAGCGTTAACATTTTAATTTAAAAAATGCATGTGCACCCTTCACACAATTTCATATCCCTCGATCAACAAGTGCTATTCAAGACGTTTAATTTGAGCCAAAGTAGAAGTCTCTAGGCTCTTTGAAGTCTAATTAGGAGCCAAAGTATAACGATTCTGAAGTTAAACTTTTTCACGCGAATTTTTTTCTAAGTTCGGAGTAAAAACTAGTACAGCAGTTTAGTTTGAAATTGTTATAACTCGTCGTGTACAACTCGCGGCACAATTCTTGAATTGACCTTCTCAATTTTATGATATTTTCAAATATTGTCCAAGACAAGCCTGTTTCAAGAATATTTAAGAACGTATCCGGAATAGTTCGTGTACGTTCTTAGCAAACGACTTGATAATGATACTCAATTTTCTCCGTAGTCAATGTTTTCTACCCGACCTATGTATGTATTTGGGCGATATCTCAAAGCGGTTCCATTGAAATGACAGCCAGAAGTAGTGACATGATATGAAAGATATGCCGATTGAGAATTTCAGAAGAACGTTGGCTATAGAATTGAAATAATAAGCAGGAAAGAAGCTGGCTCTCAAAACGGTTGTAAACGGTTGTTAAAATTTGACCTTACTTACTATTCCTCTGCAAATTTTTATTTCAGAAATTTATTTTGCAATTAGCTAAAGGAGTGATATCTATGCTTCTTATTGGAATATTTATGTGTTGCCATGCGGTACTTTCTCTCGTTCTCATTTTGTGCTTGACCAACCTCTTTAGCTGTTCAGCTGTTTTCTAAGCTGGAAAATGCTGCGCTAAAGGCGCTCTCAAAACAATTTTGCCGGAGAGGGAGCTCAAGTACGGTTCACCGTTCAGTTCGGCACATTTGATTTTGTTCTGAAACAAACAGCTGATGATATTGTAGCCACATGCAGTTCGCTGCAAATCCATATAAAGGAGAACGCGGCAACACGAATCATCAAGTCGTTCGGACAGAAAATCAAAATCAATTTGATTCGAATAAAGAGTGTTCAGCACATTTTTGTCGCGCTCTCAGTGAGACAAAGTGGGAAAGGAACGCGTAAAATTACTAACAAAAAGTATCCGGACACGAACGGTCAATCCGCCTTTACATCCCTAAGTTTCAGATGTTTTTCTCCAGGATTTGACGTGCTGAGAAAATCTGGTCAATAGTGAACTTACCAGGTCTGAAGCCACACTGATATGGTCCTTTCTGCATCTGATTTCTTCCTCATGAAAATAAGTCTCTCTTCCCTCTTTTCTCACGGTATTACTCAAGTGTCGCGCACATTGCCATTGGCTGCAGGGTAGCTTTGAATGCCGACTCTTCCGCAGCGGTACGAAGTGATTGAGAGATGGAATCCCACTGCTCAGAGGCGCATGCGAACCTTAGCAGCAAAAAGGTAGTCAGTGATCCGAGTCGATAAAATGTATCTTCCGTCTATCACAACATGACCACTTTGACTCTACGTTCTTTGATCGCAAGCACCCAAGCGGCTTTGTGGATGCTTCGATGCTGTTTGCTGGAACAACTAACTACAATGTTCCGTGACGCGGCGAATCCCATCAGCCACTCTCCGTTGTTGAAGGTGTTGTCATGAATGCTGAATTTTCCGCCTGTTGGACATATTTGGTCCTTCTATTCCCACTCTGACGTTAAAGTCGCAAATCATTAATTTAATACCGTGGCGAGGGAAGCGTTCATAGTCTTTAGTCTCATCGCCCTTCTCCTCCGTCAGGGCGTACACAACCATGCGGATTGCAGCCGTGCCGCGTCCATTGCATTTCCTGAACTGCGGTATTATGGTTCCTCAACCGAATACACCTTTATATCGAGAGCCGCTTGCTCCAAGACAGATGCCCGCTTGCAGTCGCACCTCATGGCGAACAGACGCTATATACGTCTGTGAGCCCTTAAATCGAATTAGTCGGAGTGGCCTCACCGAAGCTTTAAAAATCAACACTTCTTAGTTAGCCGACTTCAAAAAAGGAGAAGCTTTTTAATTCCCAACTTCAGGGGTTGGTTTGTTTGTGGCTACTAATCTTGACGCCCTGAGCTAGGATTAGTTTTCAATGAATTTCAGGTCGTACATGATGAGCCCGCTCATCATTACGTGACTGTACTGACTGGTCATAAGTAAAATTCATTGCACCTCTTTTCATTATATTTTAATGAGCTAATGAATGAGTCTTACTTTAACAACGGTTTAATAAAATAAAACAAAATCCCGCAGCAGACTGTCACTAGCCACTCGCAGCTAAGGAAACTTTAGTAAAAACTTGAAATTTGTTCTCCCCTGCTGTTCTTTAGTTCTGTCTAATTAACTGTAAAGTGCATTACTCATTCTGCTGCAATTTATTAATGTGACATCCTCACTTCTCTCTCTACTTTCAGGGGGCCACCACACAAATGGCATGTCGTCTTCGGCAGCCAACTCGCACCACCAGCAACAGCAGCACTCGAGCGCCAAGCATCACAACAGCTGTGGTGGCGGCGGTAGCGGCAATCCACCGCCCGTCTTCTTCTTAGTCGCCAGCAATGGCAATTCAAATGGCAATATTGTGAATGGCAGCAAACACAGCAGCAATGCGTCACCGGCTCCTACAGGTGTTGGTACGCCTCCCAATGCGATAAGCGGTAAGTAATTAGTAAGCCGATTTTCTTCATTTTCTTTTTTTATTTCCATTTTCCTTTTCGCGCTATTGTGCGCTACTGCATGCAGATGACTAACTACTTGTACACTTTGCACATTACATACAGCTGTCTCCGGCGGTCCCCTAGGCCATTTCGCAGCCGTCGAGGGACGCAAACCCAAGCTGCGACGCTTCAATTCGCACGACACCAGCGCAAATATGTTCTCAGTGGCGGACTTCGAGAATGCACGGTTGGCGCGACGCAATGAAATCGAAATGAAACAGCGTCTGGCACGGCGCATGCGCATGAGTGCCACTGGCGGATACGGCTGTGCGGCTGGCGGTATGGGCGCGAGCTTGATTGGTGGCAGTGGCTGTGGGCTGGGTGCCAGTGGTAATGGCATGGGTGTGGGTACGGGGGGCGGTAACAGCATGTGTGGCGGTGGTGACTACTCCACCGGCGATAGCAAGGCGTCCAAATATAGCAATGAGGTGAGTAGTTAGTCACTAGCTGACGAAATTCAATGATAGCTATTACCAAACACGTAATTAAATTTGCCTTTGAAATGTTTTCAGTCTCAACACGAGCCATTGCCAGCGGATATTTTCCTCGATCGCTACTCGTTGCCACGCGTTGTACGAATTTCGTATAAAACGAAATTCTCCGACGAAACATTGCAATCGTCCTCCTCGAATGGCTCATCCACAGCCACGACGAATACCACAGGCACCAGCGCCAGCGTTTCGAATTCGTCGGTGAGCGCTTGTGGTCTAACGGTGGCTATTAACACCGGCACGTCCTCATCGACGGCCTCCTCAAGCGGTAATGTGAATGCGCACAGCTCGGGTGCTACGAACACGAGCAGCAGCGGTGGTGGCGGTGGCGGTGGCGGTGGTGGTGGCAGTGGCGGTAGTGCGGATAGAGTAGGCTCCAAACAGCACTCAACGCCACACAATACAACACCTCCAGCCACAACAACTCAGTCAAACACAACAATTAATGGTAATAGCAATACGGATGTGGAGAATCGCGAAGATCATGGTGAATTATTTCTACTCTATCGGCTAATACGACAACGCCATATATTTCATGGGCATAATGCCAAGACTGCTGCAGCAAGTCGCAAGAAAGGTGTGCTTATACCGCAAGAGTTTCCAGGTGAGTCCAATGTCAAATGCGCTGACGCATCACCATTTAGTTATAAGCGATTTTACGGCCTTTAGAGTTTTAAATAGACTCGCTTTGGTTCCATGCACATGACTCATGCTGCAAAGTTCTGATAATGACTAACTGAAAGTGAAATTTGTGAAATTTATTGTGAAATAAGCTATTTCAGGCAAAGAACAAGCATTAAATAAAAAGATTTTTTTGCATAATGGTTCGAAAGCGCAATTAAAGAAGTACACATACATATCTGAAATGAAATTTTAAGCTACTATCTTATGGATATAGCGCCTATGGGTAAGATGCTTTTGATAAATGACAAATTAGTTTTATTTAATTTATTAATACTTTCATTTGGATATATAAACGATTTGGTTATATAAAACGTCATAAAAACTTTCACCGAGTCTGAAATTAAAGCTATAACTCTCGACTACTGTTCCTGAAAATACCATCCCTACATTTTAACCTGATGGTCGCTTATAGTCATTTATTGAATAAAAATAATTAAAAAATATTGGAAAAAAAAATTAGTTAAAGTCAGGTTTTGCTGGTCAATAAATGACTATAAGTGACCTTTGGGTTAAGATGCAGAGACGGTATTTTCATGGACAGTGTTCGATAGTTGTAGCTTTAATTCTTTCTTTGCTAGAGCTTCTCAAATACATATTGCAAAAAGCGCGATTTTTTGACTATTTGACCTCGATTTCCTCAAAGCGTGGACGAGATGAAAACTTTATACTTACGGATTCGTAAGCAGCACATAAAACTCTATCAAAAACAGTTAGTGAATAATAAAAAAATATTGGAACACAATTTTTTAAGTCACTTTTTGCTTCAATAAATGACTTTGGGTCATGATGCGGAGATGGTATTTTCAGGGACAGTAGTCGAGAGTTCTAGCTTTAATTTAAGTCTAAGTGGAAGGTTGTATCGCCTTTTGTTTCTTTGCTAGACATTCCCAAATATTGGCGCATTTGCGGGCCGATTTTGTTTATAATAATAATAATAATAATAAAACATATGTTAGTGTTTGGCCGAGCTTCTCCTCCGATTTGTGGCGTGCGCCTTGATGTTGTCACACGAAGCGGAGGGACCTACAGTTTTACGCCGACTCCGAACGGAGAAGCTGTTTTTCATGGCAGAAATACACTCGGAGGTTTGCCATTGCCTGGCGAGGGACGACCGCTGTTAAGAAAAAACCTTTTTTCTATTTTTTTGCGATGTTGCTTTGACCTGGGTTTGAACCCAGGTGCTGCGGAGTGGAAGCGCACACTGCTTACCACTACACCACAGTGGCCGTCAATATTTGTTGATTTTGTTTATATTAACACCTTATACTAATATTCACTAAAGCAGCTCGTGTTCCAAATTTGAAGCCTCTAGGTAAATTTTTATTATATATGGCCAGCTTTTTTCGTGATTTCTCCCAATGTGCGACGCCGTTCGGCGTAAACTAATAAAAATATAAAACAGTAAGAAAAATCGACAGTTTAGCATAAATTAAAGAAGACTTAAGCAATTTTTTATTCCATTTATGAACAATACTTAATTTTAGTTTTATGGTGCGGTGCAGAAGCATATATCTCGGCAGCCTGTTCGAAAACGCCCTATCTCATAAAACTTTTCAAGAAGGCCCTACTTCAGAATTTTATTGAAAAACATCCTATTTCAGAATTTCAGCCCATTTTCCGTTATTGAATCGAATTCTGTCAATAAAATTCTAAAATCTTG